CCTGCTGTACTATACATAGAAAACAACTCTTATTTCATGCAGTATTTCAACTAGCATTTCACAATTCTGAATTTATTGCAAGCTGACAGAGAATACCTGCCAGGTACTAACAGATTTACACAGCTATAAAGGTTTTCAAGCATGCAACAAACACGTAAGAACTTCCTGTACATTAGAAGATTACCTGCAAAGGCTGATTCTCAGGAGTTGGATTGGTTTTGGATAGTTTAACCATCTCTTTTATCTGGCAGACAGCATAAGCTAAGGTGACCCAAGGAGAAGAGCTGATGCCCCAGGCAGGCTTGTTCACATCCTCTTGCTCTTCTTGGTGTTTAGTTTTCTTTAGAGGGAGTCTGGGCTCAGTCCGAGGCATGATATCTTCTGATTGCTGTTGTACAAGGTCTATAGTTGCTATGGGAACAGGACTGGAAGGCACTGGGATCCTTTCCGCCAGCATTGTCTTTTCTGAAGTTTAAAACAAAATAATCACTGGCAAAAGCCAACAAGCTTCAAAAAACGCAAAGCAGACAATGAGCACTACGTGTTTCTTGCTTTCATAGTATGGTTGTCACTGTACTGAAAGCAGAACGCTGGCACAAACAGCCAGGAGTGAGACACACCACAATGTAGTTAGGGAAATGCAACGTGGATGTTGTCCTTACAAGCAAAGCTGTTCTGCAACTGCAGCGAGGTAGTTAGATGGCTGCATAGTCAGGAGGGGGTAATGAGGCTGAAATGATCCATTTGTTCCCAGCTAGCTCTTAGAAATATGTATTTTCATGTTACATGGAAATCTAAAAAGTCATTTTCATGTTATAAGCTAATTGAAATCTTTTAGATGTGGAGCAAATTTCTTTCCCTGCATAAAGCCCGCATCTTAGAACTAAACTGTACTCCTAACTACACACTGGCTTCAAACAGGAACTATTCCGTGAAGTCCCACAGCCTACTCCATAGAACAGCTAGTTCTGATCTTAAAATTCCTAAACCTACCAATATGACTGAAAGAAGTTGTTCTACATTTTCACTGCTTTATTTAAGAAACAAACCATCCCTCTATAGTTTCTATGGAGTTATGCAGTTAATGAGAAAAGAACAAGGTTAGTGAGACACTGGAGGAGACAAAATAACCTGTCACAGAGTTTCAGGTAAAGGAAGATATCTTCCTAACAGACCTTTACATCTAAGGTCTTCCGATAATCTGAAATAATTTTCACAACTGTCTTGAAATGTCACCCATAAAATGACTGTCATGACCCAACACAATGTGCCTTACAATCTTGAAGAGCCACAGTATTTACATACGAAAAGTAATTAAACAGATTGTTAGAAACTGTTGGATATTTTAAGTAATAGCTGTATGTTCTCTACAAGTCTGTAAATAACACATTCTGTAAATTTTAGGAAAATATTTTTTCTGAGTAGAAATATTTTACCGATTAAAAAGATCACTTTTTCAAAATTATAAAATCATATTTTGTTTACAGACTCTTAGATAGTACTGGATATTTAAAGCAATGGCTGGATGTTCTGTAGTAGTGAAGAAATGAAGCGACTAATCCCGCACACACTTGACCACATGCTTAGTTTTACTCATCCAACTGGTCTTATTGAAAGCAACCTAATTACTGCCATGCTTAAAATTAAGTTACAAACTCTTAAGATGGGCAGTGTGTATTAAATGAAAACTGAAGACTGAAACAAACTACACAGAGTAAGGCCACTAAGAACAAACTATTCTTTTGTAGGTTCACATGTAATTAACTAAAAGTTGATTGGAAACCGATTCAGCAAATACCCTTTTTGCCTTTCCATTTTTTTGCCATTATCATTTGAACAGAGGTGAAGAAAATTCTAGCAAAATAAATATTTGAACACTTCAGTACAGGCAACCTGATAACTAGTCAAGGACAATTTATTTAATATTCCAGCTAACAAAAAAACAACTTTCATTTCATACCCAAAGGTCCTATTGGAAAGTAACAGTTGGGTAAAAGGCAGCTCAAAAATTCCTGACTTTTCAGAATTTGCCACAGTTTTATTGTCTTTGTAAGAAATAGATTTATGCTAAATCCTTAACTTTGCACTAAGTATTTAATTTCTGGTTAGCCTTTATAATAATAAAGGTGGAGATGAAAAAGTTCGAGTTCCAGCTGAAGGGAGATTTCTCAGGTGCCAGAACAGAACTGAAGCAGTTATAAAAGTCTGTGTACTCTGAAGCCATCTCTACAATTTCTGGAAGAGGTGGCTTAGACTGATAGAATATGAGAGCATGCAGTGGTCAAGGTGACCTTAAAGAACTAATGCAACTGAAATGACTCACTATAGCTGTTAAGACTAACCTAAAGGATTCCCAGAACTGAGAAAACATACAGGTAGGAAAATACGTTATGCTTTCCTCCTATCAACATCCCAGAACTCAATGCTGCCCTTCTTACAGCAGGAGCATCAATGTCTATCATTGCTCAAGAAAAAACTTCGCACTTGAAAACAAACTGTTTTGTCAAAATCTGAGTCAAGTCACTAAAGCTGCAGGGAGCAGCTTCAGAGATAGCTCTTTTCACTAGCTCTAATTCTGTAGTGTCTCAGTGACATGAGTATTTACCTTCTTCTTCATCTGGAACCATCAGCCACTGGATCAGTGCAAATAGAAGAAGAATCACTAAACAAGCCATCCCTATTCCTCTGAATGTGGCAGCAGGACCTGTAAGGAGATTTTTTTTTAAAATTGAGAATCTACTTAACAAAAGTAATACAAGATGAATCAGCATTATGCACTCCTTGGGTATGTATTGTCCTGTGTAGACTCTTATTAGCTCGTTTCATTACGTTTTCCTCCCCCAACATGTCTTCAGCAGGCTTTGCAAAGGATTTTTAACCAAGTTATTAGATTCTTATTTGTTCAAGAGGCTGCATAGTATCAACCTATTCTCCCACAGAGGATTCATTCATCTCACCTAAGGATCAGGTTGGAGATTTGCTCACACGATACTAAAAATATCTAGGCATAACATATTTAATCAATCTGTAACACTGACAGGACAAAACCATAAGCAATCCAGGCTGAATTCAGTGCTGACTTTGCTTTGATCAGGCACCTGGACTGGGGATCTACTGAGGTCCCTCGCAGCCTGAGCGGTTCTGGGATTCCATGATTTATACAAAGTGTATTACTCTTTAAAACATAACAATACCTTAAGCATAAATAAGTTTCAAGCTGCTAGTTCAGCAAAATCAGAACATCAATAAATAAAATTTGATACAATTTTTGCTTACCGAAGTAATTGACCAATACCCCTCCAACCATAGCCCCGCATCCTCTGCCCAGACCCAAGTGGAGACCTTGCAGAATTCCCTGGGCTGACGTCCTCAGCTCCGGAGGCACTGCTGCGCTAAGGTACGAAATACAAGCTGCCCATATAGCCGCGTGCGTGACACCTAGAGAGATGAAACATTGTGAAGAGTATGGATCCAGAGCGTACTAAAACAACATCAGAGCAACTGCACTCATCAGTTGGAGCATGCACTGGGGAAAAAACGACAAAACTCCTTCACTGACAAATGCCTGTGAAATACAAATCAGCTTTTGGTAACGTGATACTGGCAACCAAGCCACAGGGAGACATGATGACTCCTTATTCTGCAGAGTCTGTCAATAGCTCTTTCTCCCTCTAAGATGACCTCGCTTCTTTTCTTGAGACGCAGTCCCTAGGAAGAGTATATAAAGCTCCTTAAAAGTCTCTCTGCTAGATTCCTCATCCCTTTGAAAGATGTTCCTGATTTCATAAGCTAAGCTGCAGGCAATTAAAGCACTGATGCCTCTCAGCAGTCTCCTTACTGCCACAATGAAGGCAGTGCAAAGGCCATAAAAGCCAAACAACATGAGAGACATCCATGTCATGTCAGAAGCAAGAATTAATTCCCTCCTGCCTTTCTCACTCCCCCCCAAAACCAACCCCCAAACAAACTTTTTCTGAACTCAAACATCAACACGCTCTTCATTTAGCACTGAACGGTCTAGATGGGAAAAGCAGGCCAGCTCCTCGGGGTAGGCCAAAGATGCCGATTTTCACACCTGCTGCTCAGAGGCAGAGTCAGCACGCCCTTCCTCCCGCTACAACCGCATCCTGCGTAGGCGGCTGCCGCACGCTGCCGCCGCCGCCGCCTCGCATTTCACCTGCTCTGGGAACTGAGCGCAGCAGAGCTCCTCACTGCTATGAGCAGCCGCCATGAATCCAACACAGCCCCAGGTCCCCAGCATAGACTCTGGAAGTCTTTTTCTGGCACATGCCTGCAAGGTTCTCGGTCATGAACCGTTTTTCCTACCGCAGGAGGAGGACAGCTAAGGGAAAGGCAGTGGGTGACCACGGGCATGCAGGAACAGGCTGCAGGTGGAGCCCTCGCCTTTCAGCACCTGCTTGGTGGGGTTTTCGTGGAGTGGGGAAAGAGCAGCACAGGAAAAGGCAGGGGTGTGGAGAAGCTGGAAAAACAAAACAGTTTTGTAGCTCATCACACATTAAATAAACCTGAACTATTTTCCCACTGAGTGGGAATATTTTTTTCTTATTTGAGTAGTATTAAAAATAGTCATCACAGCTTATCAATGCCTAAGCTCTATGCCTTGGTTTTAAAAAAACGCTGGCACAACTGATGATTCAGTCAACATGTTTCTGTCCTCTACACTTGACTTACTAATGAACAGTTGGACACTCAATTATTACTTAGGCATTTAGGCTGAGGATGCATAAGAGCAAGAAAACACACGATTTTGTAACATACAGAATAACTTGGATTTTGCCTAGTTGTAAAATGATTAATAGTACTGTATGGAATTGATACAGTTCAGGTATACACAAGTTAAGATGTCCACAAGGCTGTAGATTCGTCATTCTGAATCTAAATAAAAATTTCTTAAGCTCTGGGTTTGTAAATGCCACCTTTATACACTGCAGAGCTGGTTTTGGTAACACTACATCAACTTGTTGAAAAATAAAAACCTTACATTAGGATGAGTGTATTTTACCTTAGCACTAACAATTTAAAGCTTTAAAACTCACATATTTTCCACCCAAAAAGCTTAGAGTTTTAAAACTCACTATCTGCCTGCGTTTTTTTAACACAGACTCACATGTGCATCGAAAATGTCAACCAAATGGCAAACAAAACTATCCCCAAAACAAAGCAAAACTGATCTAATACAGATAATGTGTTTTTATTTTAGAAAGGATAACAATTAATGTAAAACATTCAGTTTTATCAGCTATTAAAGAGTAAGTCAGGTATTAAAGCCAGGCAAATCAAAAACACATCAGGAGTTATTTGAACCATGAAGCACAATACCACTGTATTTGTTTGAAAACAAAAGGCCCAACTTAACCAACAGGTTCTTGGATTTTTTCACCTTTACTAGACGATCCAGATAGAACATAGTGTTCCCAGTTCCTCTGAAAACAAATCCATACCTTTAAACCAGCTTATTTCACTTGCCTTTAAAAGTATAGGCTCTTTTTTTTTTTGCTTTTTATTGTTTTTCCCCCAGTATGTATACATTACCAATGTGATTGTTACTATAATTATTTATACAACAGTGACTGTTGAAACAGTTTTACAACAACTTTTATAAGAATTCTGGTCTGGATTACTGCTAATCACAATTATTTTAAAAGAAGTTGTTCACAATATATTGTGACATTATTTGCTAAAACCACTAACGACCATTTCACCCTCTGGACTGTAGTTCCAACAAGTGTTACAACCATAGTGTTATGCTTAGAATAATAATGTTTAGCAAACTTAGAATAATTTACATATAAACCAAGAGTTTAAGATTTGGGAAGCCAAATTTATTTCAAGAGATATATATCCTAATTATTGCCAAAGTCACAAGCATTTTGCTCTCTAGACATAACTGTGTTGCTGAAGCATCAGTAAGAGTCCCTTCTTAGAACTGTACTTGTTTTGGAGTTTGTTGGGTAACTGCCAAGTGAAAATTGCTAATATTCAGGCTATGAATACAGTTTTGCACTTTAGAAAATTCCTGTTATGCAAATTGGTGAGCTAGCTTAGCTGTTACCAGAGAATTTGGACCGTTGCTTTGGAACAATATAAATTGCAGCTACCTAGCATATTAAAACTTAATCTGTTAAGTGAGAAATGAACAAGATTGCCTGCCTGTTCACAAACTGATGACATATATACACACACTATACGTACTTGCCTACCAGGATGTCTTGACATTTTCAGTTATTAAAGATTCAGCCTAAGCCTTGATTTCATATACTGCAAGTCAGTACAGCGGACAGATTCAACACTCTAAATTAAGAAGTGAGTTTAACTCTCCTCATTTACTCCTTTGAGAGTGCAATACACTTAAAGAGCCCTCCTCATCCCAGTTACACTGACAGCAACTGAAACACAGAATGGTTCTTGTTACAATCAAAAGATGCAGTTTGCAGAGTTATCTTCCAGAAATCTCTCCGTGCCCTTCGGCACAGCACATGGGGATAATCCTTCTTGTATTGCAGAAACAGACTCAAAAGAAAAATAAATTCTTTACAAAAGTCAACTGAAACTGTTGTTGACCTTAAAACCCCTCCAGCTGATGGAACTGGAATTTGCACAGAATTTGACAGCTTCCTGGAAAAAGAGTTATGTACAATGATAACCAGGACCTCACCAAGGGATTTAAAAGACTTAACAATTTGATGCAGTCACGTGGCCCACATGGTACCCACATGTTCTGCATAATCTACTTTTTTTGTTTTTCAATACTTCTAATCCTTACACACGCTAGGCAGCTACAACTCTTTCCTCCATCAACAACCTCACTTAGGAAAAATAAGAGCTTCTACCTCACCGAATTGCATTAAGGTGTCACCTCTTATCCCCACTGACAGATTCAGTGGATATGTAGGAAGGAAAGCAGAACCCAAAGAAAGAGGATTTGGTAACTGCTGCAAAAGGAAAGAATGAATCAAGCAGAGATTAAAACTGGTAAGAGTGAGGAGGGGAAAAGAATAAAGGGAAAACAACCAACCAGTCAATAGTACTTCTAAAAAGATAAATTTGATCTCCCATTCAGCAACACTGAATGAGATTACTGGAACATTACAAATGTAGTGGCCATACTTAGACACACATACCGTGTAGTACCTACGGACTTCACGGACACTAATAAACTGTGTTAGATGTAGGCTGAACAGTGCACGTAGAACACAAAGACACTTTTGGGGGGAGAGGTAGTATGTGTGTTTGGTTTGTTTTTAACTTTGGCATTTGCTGACTATAAATAACTGAAAATAGCAACATTAACCCAAGTGTATATGATTCAGCAGCGGCTAGATATAGAGAAAGTCTGGCAGATAAATTTATGAGAAAGTATTTTGCAGGTCCCTTAGTTTTTTCTTTAAATCTCGATTACTCAAGATTATACCACACAACCCCCTCCCCACAGCTCTGCTATAAAAGCAATCCTACATAGTAAGCAATTCATATTGAAATTTCAGCAGAATAAAAACAAGATTCAAAGTAAAACAAACTTCTTTCTCAGTCATGACTATAGGATGCTTCCAGGCATAAACTTAGGGCTGTAATGTTGAGACACAAGGTTTTTCTCCTGTATTTTGAGTTGGAGTGTCTTTAAAACAGCATTACCTAAAAGGTAATATCCAAAGCTTTGTATTCATCATTTGTTCCCCCTAGGTGTTTAAGCAGGCAAGAGTATGTAACACATATGCATTCTTCAGGTTCTTTATGTCATTTTCATGTTTTAACATGCGGTGTGAACAATGAAGTATCAATTCAATAGCTATGGTTCAGGGTTTTTTAATAACAAAGTTCAGAAGCTTGGTGTTGTGGCAGTTTTAATACAATAAACTGGTTTTGTTAGCAAGGAGGGAAGGAGCCAGGATACAAACAGATTTCTTTCTGCGTATATGTAGAAATCTACACCGTGCTCTCCAGTGGCATTTTATAACTCAAGTTAAAATCTACCTTACAAAGGTTTCTGTAAATATAGTAGAAAAAGTTAATGCAAATTCAAATTATGCTTGCACATAGAAGAATAAAACGTCTAAGTATAATCTGTGGAAAATTTTCTAAGTAGTACTGTATAAAGTCAAAATATTTGCTTTAACAAAGATAGTACAATTATTTTTAATGGCAGGGAAAACATTTTCTGCATTTAAATTAACCATTCTCTTGCAAGTTTACTAATCCAAATACTTCAAATCCTGAAGAAACTGAAAGTACAAGAATTTAGATTTTTCCTGGTTTTGAGAAGTGGTACCCTCTACAAAGACATGAAAAAATGTCATAAAAATCTAATTTAGAACAATTTCTATTTTAACATTGCAATGAAGGTCTTACAGACTTTTTTGACAACACAACTTGAAAATGGGGCTCAAATTGCTTTTCGTAGACCGCACCTCTGTCCTTCTAATTAAAGGGCAAGTATCTTAAAGAAGCACTATTAGCATGGACAAAGCTATTAAAAGAAATTCCTCTCTATTAAAAAAAGAAAACTCTATAGTCTGAAGTTATTGATTGAACAACACCACTCAAAAACTACAAAATCTTTTAACAGAGACAGAATGACCCAGACTATGTTTTTGTTTTTTTTTTATTATGACATCCTTTCAAGAACTGTGACCTTTCACATTTAGTGAAGTTCACATTTACCACTAAACAGGATTTGCAGTAGGTGTGTACCCAGCTCATGCTTCTGTGTCTTTGTTTAGTTAAAGGGTGTGTTGGTCTCGCACAGTTCTGTTTGAATAAACAGAGAACTCTGCACAATCAAATGTAAATCCACCCTTTTGACGTCAAATATTTCCCAAGATAAACAGTGATGTTTTATGAACCTGAGTCTTCTGGGATATATGTGGTCAAAAAAATAGAGAAATACCAGATTTTTACTTAATCACAGCTCACTTGAAAACAAGATAAATGCAACCACCTGATCTTATACCAGAAGGGCATTACTGTCCTGTCTTACCTTGAAGTACTTCCATCGGAAGAACAGTCCAGGCATTTTCCAGATACGAGATGTAAATATATCGAGCTGTGTTACAGGCGAGACCAATATAAAGCACTCTAAAGAACGTAAGGAAAAGAGAAGTCAGGATAGTTTGCACTTTTTTTTTTTGGTAAGCTATAATATACCTTACTGCTTCAGAAATCATTTGCACGTGTACAAACAGTTTGACAGTCTAAAGCACGTGCTCAGCATGAAATATGTTCTTTAAGTCCTACACCCAACATAAACTCTCCTCTTGCCCACTCCAAACACATATTCAAACCAAGGCTAAACTTAAGAATCTCTTCAAAATCCTACTGAAAAAAAAAATGCAAAGCTACAGCAAATCCACTGAGCTTTTAACTAAGCTCTGTAGTTCCATGTCATGCTCTACACAGGATTGTATTTCAGAGATACCCTTTCTAAGCACATTCAACATCCCTTCCAAACAATCTTCTTTTCTAATCATTCAGAGATTCATTCTTCCATTTTAATGTTAGCCTAGTGCAGGTTTGTATTAGATGAATTAATTCTACCCCAATTAATATAAGTTTATAGTCCTAGTATCTGCAAACTGCTCAGAACTACTCTAAAAACACATCCCACAGAAGCAATATGGTTTATAACAACATGCCTCAGGATAAAACTTAACCATCCTGTTGAAAAGCAGCAGATGCTGCATCTCAGAATGAAGAGGAAAAAAGCTCTTATAACAGTTTTTTAAACAATGAAGCACAAAGACTATTTGTGCACTGCATTTCCCACTGCACATTTAACCCGATTACTTTTCCCTTCCAGTTTTCAGACTTAGCATAGCTTACCTCTGGGGTGCTTATTCATCTAGCTATCTTTCTCTTATTTTCAGATGGATCTTAGGAAACAAAGACTTAATTCAAAACATGTTTTTAGCTTGAGAAAAGATGCTATTGCAACCTTTAAAGATTTTTTTTTCAGGGACAAGGATTGTGTATTGTCCAAACATTGCTTCTTGGTTGACCCCTGGTTTGGCACATATGAAATAAATACAATTGATAATTAAGGTGTAAGCACGGGCACTGTGAAAGGGCTCGTTATTATTTGTGCTGCTTTTTTAGTTAGTTATTTTACAAAAACACACCGAGATGCAATTAAATGGTACACAGCCACTGAAAAACGTACAGTGAGATTCAATCCTAATAATGCAGCATCTTGTTAACGTTTGAGGTCTCCAAATATACATGTTGACAGCTAAAATACCAGTACCATACTTTTCATCATGTGAGTGATATCAAAAAACATTCAAAATTATAAAGACAGGTCTGTATGTTTCACAACAACATGGATTTACAGAAGACAATATCTTTTACTTTCAGCAAGTTGGGTAAGCTTGCAGGAAATCCCGTCCCGTCCCCCCCCCAAACAGACCAAGCTGTATGGCCTCCAGATACATGTAAGGTCCATGAATAGCTGGCTCAAGCTGCCGTTAGGCAACAGAAACCCAAGCATTCATTGAAGAAAACATGGGAAGCCATGAAAAAGTTCAGTATTATACAATAAAGAGAACAAACTTGTTCTTTGCGCCATGTGTCATAAATTTCGTCTCCCCATTTAATTAATGCCTTCTGTTCCAAACAAGTAATTTTGTTCCTTTCATAGCCACAACGTAATGTACTTATGTACAATCACATTTCTGAAGTGCGTTAGGACACATTTGCCGCAAAAGGTAAGCAAACATTCAAGGTCTGAAGGCTCCTTCCTACATTCCCCCTACTACTAAAGCCCAGGGTGATGCACACGCTTGGGGATACAAAGAGTATACTATACCATATGCTTCTTTTTCCTCATCAGCAGTACAGATGCACCCAGGTCTCTGTTTAGGACCAGTTCTTGCCAGCTTAATTTCATTTTTGTCTAGCAAAACCTTTGCCTGTGTACCAAGAACTTTCTTCCCATCTCAGCTGTTCCACATCACAGCCAGACCAGAGATGTGAAGAGGTCGCCTCCTGCTTCATAGTTTTTCCATCGCCACTAACATAGTCGGCTACCTGTGCTTTTCCACCATGTTACACTCGCAGAAAGACTGGATTCAGAGTTTAAAAGCAACAATGTAGTCAGGTTCTACATTTTAATTTGTTAGAATATGTTCAATTTTAGGTACATTACAGTTTATGAAGATTTCTATAATTATGCTTTTGGAGGGGTACATCACATGAGAACTTTTGTTTACAGAGTCTTTTCAAAAAATGTATTTCTCATAATCACTGAGGGTCTTTATCAGATCTAAATGGATAACGTAAACAGATATTCCTTATGAACCCTATATGGAGTATCCACAGAGACACTGTATTCACTTTAAAGGTTAAACATTTAAAGCATATTTATGCTTTATCTTATTTATGCTAAGGAGACTAAGCTGTTTACAACCATGCCTACCAGTCTCTGCCTCCTATAAAAACTCACATGCTGGAATTATGGTCAGATAAACACATTGAAGCTTAACTTCAAGTGGGAGGTTATTTTCAGAGATTAAGATCATCTTCCTAAAGTCAATGGCAGTTATGAGTGCTTCTACACAGGACACTATTCAACAATGGTGTCCAAATATTTGATAGCCAGTTTTGCATGCTTTTCCATCGCAATATCCTCTCAAAGAACTTGTGGCCTTCACCAGGCTGATCACTTTTTTAACTCTTTAGTTTAATTATAAACAAAAATCTACTCTGTCATCTCTCTGAAGGTGTCTGGTGGAGGCAAGGCAAAAAATACCCTTCTAACATCTGCAATATTCCCTCCCCTTGTAAATCTACCATCACAGAATACTTTCTACCTGAACCAATCACTATCATTAGTCCAGATTCATCTGGTGACCTGCTAATATACAATACCTGAAACACTAGCAGCACGTCTAACATACACATATGCACTGCATGCACGCATGAACAGTAAAGCTAAGGAAGTCAGAAATCAGGCATTTTAATCAGCACGTGTTTAGTATGATCATGCTTAAAATGCCTGGACAATAATTTTAGTTAAAAATAACCTGTGAAAACAGAATAGGTTTCAAAATGTTGTAGGGATCTTACATGCCAACACATATAACGGTAGAAACAGAAAGCTTTACAAGGCTAGAAAAAGAAAACTGAGCTTCTATGTGATAAGGCTGTAAAGCCTGTTTTCTTGTAGTTCTACAAAGGACAGCCAAGAGCATTTTTTCCTGGTATTGCGCCAGCACATGCAATTCTGGTACTCATGCCTGTCTTCAAAGAATTAGGACAGGAAGGAAAGATTGAATGATAACATTCAAATAAATACTGCACAAAGACTGCCTATATCGAGGAGTCTAACAACCCAGAAGAAAGACTGCAAATACTCTTTTTTATTTTCTTTTTTTAAAAAGAACATTACTGACAGAAGTCAATGGAAGGTGAGACAACCTCAGCACTGAAGTCATCTTACCAAAAAGAGATGTCAAGTCACCTTCCCTCTAACTGTGAAATACCCTGTGAAATATTCACAGCTAGATGTGGATTAAGAGGTACTTCTATCTTATTTCATACAAGACCTTACACCAGAATTTCCATAAACATAACTGCTTTTATGCCAAAATGGTAAACAAGGAATTTTGACCTATTAAAAACAAACAAATGTAAAAAAATGATCCCCAATGCTTCTGGCTAAGACGGTTCCAAGAAGGATATATAGTTGGGGCTATTGGTTTTTATTAATGGGAGAAAGAATGTCTGTAGTATAAGGCAGCAGAAATATACAGAGCTATCAAAGAATATGAGCTATGAACTCCTATACATTCCTCTTTAAAAAAAAAATAAATTTGCCTCCTCTTGAACAAACCGTGCATTATACAGAGTTCCAAAAGTACAAGAAGGCAGGCCACAAGAAGGAGACAGCTCGTAAACTGTGATGACTAAATACAAGTAAGCATTAGATAACATTAAAATATGACTAATGTGCATTTCCTAGGTGTAGGTATAAAGAACGTTGTTTCATTACAAATAGGAGCTAGTCTTTTAACAACTGAATCTTGATCCAATCTTGGCTTCATAGGCTTAACAGTGCAAAGAAAAAAAAAGAGGAGTTAATCCTGTACATAATCTTTCTTTTTACTGGCAAACATTCCTATCCCCTTCTGTTTCATCTTATTCACAAGCCTACCATTCTTTTGTTTTTCATTCTTTCTGTATTTGAAGTCTTAGCCTGAATCTTGTATTGTAACAATGTACATTGAAAGAGCATACCCAAGCTATCTTTAGCTATCAAGATTGTGATCTGTTCTCACCAGTCCTCCATCACTAAATCCTTCCTCCATTCGTTGCATGCAAGGTGTCATATTTTCTCATCCTAATTATTGTCAAATTCAGACATTAAAAGACTGACTCAAAGTAAAGAGATCCTCCTCAGTTTAAAGGAAGAAAAACCCCATCTTTTAGGTAATCTCTCAAATTACCATGCTAAGTATCTCAAACATTTTTAGTAAAGGTCAAATGAATAAAAAAATTCATGCCAATAAAAGCAAAACAAAAAAACAAAGAGCAAAACCACACAACAGAATACACAAAAAGAACAGCAGACAGCTTAAAAAATATTTACATCTCAATGACTGTATGATTATAAACAGGGCATTTGGAAAAGACACGATGCTAACAGCACAGAGCTCTGTGCTCACTTGCACGGAGTACCTGAGTAAATATAAAAAACCCTTTACAATTTCATTAACTCAGATTCCCCCCCTCTTTCCTCCTCTGAGCTTTTTAAAACAAGAGTGAAGGGATTTAGAATATGCAGAAATTAAGTCAATTGTGAATTTAGAAGAAAACAGTGTTCACTAACATGCTGGAAGGAATGTTTCACTTACACAAGGCAAAAACTACTGAAGCCCTGCACAGCCATCTCACTTCAGTAGCTACCACACACAGTTGCAACTAAAGGAAGAGAGCAGGGAACGGAACTCGTGTGTGACACTACCAGGCTGTAACCTCATTCTGCCAACACCCAGAGTCTCATTACAAGGGCATGTGCACAGGAGGTGCTCACCTCGCTGCTTCTCTCCTCCTCCTCCTCCCCTCGCAGTGTCCAAGTGACGCCTTTCCAGGCTACTGTGGGGGCAAAGAGCTGCCCCCAAGGAGAAGCAGGCTAAAGCTGGAGGTTTCCAGAACGCTGCTACTCACAGGAAAAAAAATAAATTGTAAAATTAATGGTATTTACATGTCAAAACAGACAATCCTTGAGTGGGTGGTGATTTGTAAAGATCTCTAACAGAGCTTTGCATCAGTGAACGAGGGTGTACTCTGAAATCGTCTGAAAAAGATTATGGTGCCAGGCATAATGCACCTACTATGCAACTCAAATGCAAAGGAAGCATTTCAGAGCATTTTCAACTCCTAAAATAATAACAAAAAACTCCATCAGGCAAGCTACGTAACTAAGCAGGACCCAGAATTTTAAAAGAAAAGGATTAGCTTGAATTTCACTTTGAAACACCAGACTAAACCTGAAATTCAACATCTTTTGTATAGGTCTCTAATAATTGCTAACATCTTACCTGATATGACCAACCAATTCAATCAATTTGTGGCTGAAGAAGTAGGCAGTCAGCTCAGACACGTGACTGAGCACAGAACAAACTCCAAAGAGAGTGGTGGTGCCGTTCAGGTCTTCCAAGTGCCAGTAAAGAAAGGTGAACACAAAGCCATATCCAAACCCCATGAACCATGCCACGAAGAGCACTGAGCCGTACTGGATACTACACAGCAGTTTTATTAGGTCCCACAAACTGAAAGACTGTGACTGGCTCATACTGGTAGGAGTGTTATCAGAGGATTCGTTGGAGGCACTTCTGTCTACCTGTGAGATTTCTACCTCTCTTCTCTTATTTTCATCTTGCTTGAAGTGCGCATAATGAAATCGAAACTGCGTGGCCACAATTAATGCCATTGTCATCAGAACACCAAAAACGATGAAAACTATCCTGTAGTTCTTGTACTCGGGAGCTTTACATCCTTGACCTTCTATGCCAACTTCTGTATGGGTATAGTCAATGCCAATTCCCACGGAGAGCATGGCCAGTCCCCAGCCCAGAGAGCCCCACATACGCTGCAATCCATACCGGTCCCTGTGTTTGCCGAGGTACTGCAGCGTTACGGTGTCCACAATAGTAACAGAGGAAGCACTGAAAAATTCTCCTATTATGACAACCAGCAGAATGAGTAGAAAGATGGCTTCTACTTCTTGTTGATCATAAACGAGCACAGCTTGGTCAGAAGGCATTGGCTTTGTGGTGATGGCAGCTGGGGTGGTACTTGGAGTCACGTTCCCTGGTGAGACTGGGCTAGTGGTGGTGTTTTTCAACATAAAATGGGTACTGTTTTCCAAGACAAACTCCACATCATTGCTCTGCGTAGGTAACAGGAACGTTACTTCAGGATTAGCTCTCCCTGTTGTTTCCAAAGTGACCGGACTGGAAGTGAGCAGGTCTCTCTTTCCACGAACCTTCGGGGATGCAGTACTCACTGTGGTTAGCAGAGAAGACAGCGAGGCGTTTTGCGAAACTGTAGTTAAAAGGCTGCTTGCATTGGTGGGATGTGCTGGGGGAAGGCCCTTTGGTACGCATCTTAAAGTGGCTGGTCTAACAAATCCAATCCCCAGGTTAAATAAAACCCAGCATAAAAGTGAAAAGAGGAGGACGATCTTCCCTTTCTTGAAGCGATCTGCCACCACTCCCCAGAAGGGAGCACTGCAAAACTCAATAAAGTACCTGATGCCCACCAGAAGTCCACTCTGACTGGGTGACATACCCAGCTGCTTGTAGTACACAGGCAGCAAGGGATAGAGCGAGCCATATGCAGAATAGAAGAAAAAATAAAAGACCTTTGAGATCAGAAGATCGTTGTTTATTTTGACGCAGTGCTTTTCTAACCAGTCTAGCTCTTCATCTGGGACAGTGGTTGTCTCCGTTGAAGGGGATTCATTCTGGGGTGGCAAGTCTTGATCCTTGGAAATGCCATTGAAAGGATCAGCAAGCACGTACTTTCTCTTCTGTTCTTCTTCATCATCGGTTAAAATGGCAACCTTATCATCAGCTGCCATGGTTTACCACATGCATCCGATATCTGGTGCACTCTCAAGAAACTAGGGCTACCCTGCGAATAAATAAAACGTAACATGGTTAAGGTCCCACATGGGAAGAGACCTGCAATGCCAGCCATCAAGAACAAAGACAGGTTCTTTTTTATAACTGACATTCCTGAGCAACAAATGCAGTATCAGGGTGGGGAAGGCCATTTGTCTAGACTAGTGGTACATGGCAGCGTCAATAAAAATGTGTTTTACAACCAATCCTGTGAAGTTCTCCCAACAACAGCTTTAATATTGTGCAATAAAACATCTTTCATGCTTAGGACAGAGAATAATGTATATATACAAAACTACTGTGGCAATTAAGTGCTAGCATTCACAAGTCTTTTCTTTCAAGTTGTCTTTTTCTTTTCCCAAGGCTAGCTGCTTTATTTCCAGTATTCCCTACTATACCAAAGGATAGCCATGATTTTGTAATTAACTAATGCAGCCACATATATATCCTTTTTTTTTTTAATTATCAAAACAAATTATTGTCTGAAGCCTCATGGTGGCCTTCAAAAGGTTCCTCAATCTCCTCCTGAAATGTGATTTTCTAAGCACTCCACAACCACAGCAGAAATTGGTGGGAGGCTGGAGCTTCTAGGTTGAATGGGAAGAGAGGTAGAAATTGGGATGGGGCTTTAAGATTAAAACAAGGGACCCTCAAAATTAGGATAACAACCTCAAAGGCATCACAGACCTGGAATCAAAGAAACACAGGGACAGAAAATAAGTACAGGCCCTACAATGATCTCTTCAAGTCAAATTCTGAAATTGAGGAAGGGTGGATTGGGAGGTAACTGTACAGCAGCTGCCCACACTAATCCTTTGCAGAAGTAAAAGATTGCAAAACCGATAAGCAACACTTAAAAATAAATTCACCACTACCTAGACTTTGATTTGACCAACCAGCTTTCACATTTAAAAACAACAAACCATTCTAATAAGCTAGGCTAGCTAATAGAAGCTTTCCTTTCAAGGCATAAAAAAAGAGCTCTGCCAGCAGGCTACCAGCTCAAAACCATTATATTAAGCAATATAGTCTCACTATATTAATATCTGTGAATTTAACCTAGGAAGATTAACTCAAGTTCATTATGAGAAAGTTGAACATTTAATATATTTTGGTTTTGTCATCCCTTTGCTGTTCACATTAGTGTTATTATCACACAGGAACCTTTTGAAGGACCAATATTTGAAAAGAACATTTTATTCCAGAAGAACCTGAAATTTCTCTAAGAGCATTCAATTTATGATTGGTAATATCTTCTGAAAGAATTTGAAGTATTTTTTTGCAGGTCTGTGCTTTCTTCCCCCCAATGAAATTGCACAGTATCGCCCCCTTAAAATTAGTCATGCATTGATATATCCAGTGCCTTTAAATTATTTAATTATAATTCAGAATTTATTTAACTACTGACAACAGATTTGCAAACTGATGCAAGGCTGATAACACAGACTCTAACATTCACAAGTATATTAAATTAATTGTTTCTTACTGATCCAACATACGCATAACAGCTAACAGAATAAGCCGTGGATACTTCTAAAAACAACAGTCCATTAAAATAATCTGCATCTTACGCAGTTCAGTGACAGACAAATCTAAAAATACCATCATTAAAATCCCAAACACTCATGAGGTTTGTGTGTGTTTTTCACTTTTAAATATAATTTCTGTGGGATACTATCTGCAAGGATCTCTGGTTTCAGTTAGAGAGCAAAGGTTGCATAAAAATCTTGGAATCTTAAATATTCATGTATTCAGGTCAGAAGTTAATCAAAACAATGCCAGCACATACACGCAGACTGCTTTTTTCTCCAGTTTCTTCAGAGACAATCAGATTTTAAAAAAGTATTTCAAGTGTCAAAAGATTAGAAAAAGTCCTAATTAAGTTGTTAGAACAGTCAAATGTGAAAACACATTTTCTTGCTCTTACCTACTACCATCAAAAGCCACATGAACAAAAAACCAGCTGCAGTCTGGTTAGCTCCTGCAATTTTTGGTTCAGTCAGCCACTTCCACCTGGAAGTTGGAAGGACTGTGGGTTTTTTTGCTCACGTATCTGCTCATTTTTGGCTTCTATATCCATAAAACAAGTCCTTCTAATGAGTAAATTAGATCAGTCATCATCTGTGCTTTTTATTTTCTTTATACCTCGCCTTGCTGTGACAACAAAGACATCAGAACTTGTGCAGGGCCCCATTTATGTCAAAAGGATGTAACCGAGGTTTCAGTGTTGTTCCTGTGTCCTGCCAAAACCAGTATATGCTCAACTATTTACAGCAACTTGCTTACTAGCTGTATCAGATCTTTACACCATTTAATTTTGAACAATAAATTTCATCCCCTGTCCCCATGATATGACAAGGTAGAACTCACATTTTAACTACTTGGATATTAGGACAACTTCTTTGCAAGTATAAATTAAAATGATCCTGATTTAAACAATGCAGCCATAATCCTTATACCAATATATGAGCTCTTAACCATCTGATTTCATATAAAGTATACCGAAGGCTTTTAGAGCAATTAGTATTTTATCTTTTTTTAATTCAGTTTCCTTCTTCTGTTGGAATAGGTCTTTGATTTTGTATGTGGTATGAATAGTGGGTATATGAAAAATTGTTATAGTGCTAATCTTTAAACACTTCAGTTGCTGCATCCTCTTCCTCCCTCCATAACTTGTATCTGCCCCAGCATTCACTTTCTAACCCACTGCATGCAAGGATTAATCCAAAAGATCCACTCCTAGTATTTTGACTAGAACATCTTGGTTAAGAATGCTATGTAAAGTGTATTTCATAATAATTTCAGTAAATATTTTCCCACCCTGAGAGTGTTTCATTGAATATTAATAATAACACAGAATATACTCTTCAGAAATATAACAGCATCAAGACTGGTAAGAGCCATTATGCCATATGGCATTCTTTAATGTTTTGATCACTAGTTTGTTTAGGAGTCAGGTTTTTGAAAGTGATTTTATTTAGCAATTTTTTAAATTCTAAAAATAAATTACTGGAAATGAGAAAACCAACAAAGTGATATTGTTACTGAAAAACATACCAAAAGCTTAATAATCTACAGGGCTTTCCTTCTACTGACAAAAACCCTTCTGCCAGTCAGGGATTGAATGTGCAGCAAATCAAACAGATGGAAAACCAACATACTTCTAAGTGAGAAGAGACTAGTTATCCACTGGTTATTTTAACCATAGCCTTCAAATACTTTATCTTCACTTTGCAAAAACTTTTTCTGATCCACAAGACAGCAGGAGGATAGAAGACAGCACTACTGGCAAGTTTAAAATGAACAACAGAGAACAGGAGCGAGGAAGAAAGGTTCAGAGAGGGAACAGAATGGATTTCAGCATGAATATAAATTTTAAGTCATTTGAGGCAGAACAGAGCACCAAGTTTTGGTAGAGGCGTGTTGAATGTCATCGGTTCAGCCAGGGGAAGTGAGACCAGAGAGGTTCCAGAGTGGTAACATCATGCTGAAAAACAGGACTAACAGTTTTGAAGCTATCTTCCCTAAAATTAGGGGAGCGGCACACACAGACAACAAAGCCCTAACACGCAAATTGGAAACTTGTGCAAAGATCCTGAGAAAGCCCCACAAAGGGAAAGGGAAGAGGCATAGCATGCGGACAGCGCAGCAGATGTACGTCACAAGAAAGCACCTTGGTCCTCTGGCAGACAAACAAGCTTTTGTCTTCCCATGGGTTTATGTTTCCAAACCGCGACAGAACTCGGAGCAGGGAACCGAGGCTTCGTTCCCTCATCATCCCATCACCCCTGACATGGCTACAACAGAGAAAGACTTCATTAAAACCTGAACTGCCCACTTCCCCTCTCAAGCTGTGATCCTATCACAGAGGCCCAGGAGCACGACGAGTCCTTTGCTCACAGCTGCACAGGAAGCTTGCAGCTGACCCGGCTTTCTCAGATTGGGGATTATTCTGCAAGATCACTCGTGCTCTGAGCCTGTTTATGCACAAGTGCATGCGCTTCTTTTCAGATATAAAGAATATACTTGTTAACCACAATACTATTCTTCCTTCAAGCTTTGCACAGATAGGATTTTTTTTTTATGTAAGTACTAGAGTCAATCAGTTTCTCTAAGTTTCCTGATACAGAGCGCTGCCGCTTGGTTTACATCTATTCCTCCAGCAAGTCAAAATCTACTTTCAAACCCTTACAACTATGATGTGTCTTCCACCCAATCACCTTTTGCAAACAGCTGTAGCAACTTTCCTGCAGAATGGTACCTTTGAGCAACTATCTGAGGAACAGAGGAAAAACCATTTGTGCCAAGGAATTCACTGGTGACAATGCAATTGTCATTTTAATGACTGTAACGAGGCTCTTTGGCAGGCAGGTGGAAAGAGGCAAATATGGGTATTCCACATTTAGTTAAGTATCTTCTTGGCATTCTTGCTTTTTTAATTTCTTAAATCAATCCTCATTTACTCTGGCTCTCCTAATAATTAAGACGATTTCAAGATCAGAAAGGATAAAAAGCTAATCTATTCAAGACAACCTGACATTACAAGAAGTTCCCCATAAAACAAAGGAAAATGATATAGTATACTAAAAACTCAGCTCTCCTTTGGGAGTCACTATTCCCAAAACCTTGGGAAAAAAACCCAAACAAAACACCTCAAAACACCTGCTTTGCACTGTGTCTCGGGGGGGGGGGGAGCCAATCAACAGATCAGACTGGGATAGCAAATCCCTAAATCTCTCAGGAAAATTACCATGGCACTAAAACTTCACTTGCAGACCAACACAAAGTTAGATTTGGGGTGAAGGAGTACTGCTGTTTTTAAATAAAGTTTAATTCATCATAAATATTCCATTCACTAGGCTTTAAGAATTAACATATAATTAAGACTGACAAAGCAGAGCCTCAAATTCAGGGTCTGGATGTATACTGAATGTAAAAAAAAACCCCTCCCCCAAAA